ACCCCCATCCCAGGCCCCAAGAAAACTTTCCACATCAAGCAGATGTTCACCTGCACATCTGCTGATGTGATATACTGCATCTGCTTGATGTGGAAAGTTTTCTTGGGGCCTGGGATGGGGGTCAGGGGGGAGGTGTAGGAGCAGGTGTAGCACTTCCTGCACTTTCCACATCAAGCAGATGTTCACCTGCACATCTGCTAATGTGGTATACTGCATCCGCTGTCCCCGTTGTGGCCTCCTCTACATCGGGGAAACCAAGTGGAGGCTTGGGGACCGCTTTGCAGAACACCTACGCTCGGTTCGCACTAAACAACTGCACCTCCCAGTCGCGAGCCATTTCAAGTCCCCCTCCCATTCCTCAGACGACATGTCCATCCTGGGCCTCCTGCAGTGCCACAACGATGCTACCTGAAGGTTGCAGGAACAGCTACTCATATTCCGCTTGGGAACCCTGCAGCCCAATGGTATCAATGTGGACTTCACAAGCTCCAAAATCTCCCCTCCTCCTAACGCATCCCAAAACCAGGCCAGCTCGTCCCCACCTCCCTAACCTCTCCTTCCTCCCACCTATCCACTCCTCCAACCTCAAGTCCCACTCCCATCTCCTACCTACTAACTTCATCCCGCCCCCTTGACCTGTCCGTCCTCCCTGGACTGACCTATCCCCTCCCTACCTCCCCACCTACACTCACCTTTACTGGCTCCATCCCCGCCTCTTTGACCTGCCTGTCTCCTCTCCACCTATCTTCTCCTCTATCCACCTTCTATCCGCCTCCCCCTCTCTCCCAATTTATTTCAGAACCCCCTTCCCCTCCCCCATTTCTGAAGAAGGTTCCAGGCCCAAAACGTCAACCTTCCTGCTCAGCCTGCTGTGTTCATCCAGCTCTACACCTTGTTATCTCAGATTCTCCAGCATCTGCAGTTCTTACTATCTCAGGTAGGACTGTATTCACTTCAGTTGAGAAGAATGAGGGGAGATGTCATTGAAATCTACAAAATTCTATCAGGGCTGGACAATGTAAATGCAGCAAGGATGTTCTGACAACCAGGGATTTCAGAACCAGGGGCTCACAGTTTACAGATACCAGTTGGGCCATTTAGGTCATTTAGGTCTGAGATGAGAAATGTCTTCCCCCAGAGAGTGGTAAGCCTGTGGAATTCTCTCACAGAGGTTGAGGCCAAAACAGTGAATGTTTTTAAGGAGAAGTTAGATATATTTCCTTGAACTAAAGGGATCAAAGGCTATAGGACAAAAGTAGGGACAGAGTACCGAGTTAGACAATCATCCATTATCATATGGAATGGCGCAGCAGGCTTGAAGGCCAAATGACCTACTCCCGCTCCTATATTCAATGTTTCTATTAGGCAAGTAAGAATAAATATTGGGGCATGTAAAAAGGTAATGTAATAAGCATTGGATGTATTAATTAGGCACTGGTACTTGCAGATAGTAAGGACTACAGATGCTGGAAGCTAGAGTCAATAAATGTGGAGCTGGAAAAGCACAGCAGGTCAGACAGCATTCAAGGAGCAGGAAGTCAATGTTTCAGGCCGAAACCCTTCAATAGGACTGGGAAGGGAGACGGGAGCCCAGAAATAAATAGAGAGGGGACAGTGGGGCTGGGGGGAGGGCAGATGGGATGGAGATAGGTGGATGCATGTCGGGGGTTATTGTGGTTGGTCAATGGGAAGGGTAGAGTGATTAGGTGAGTCGGAAGATTGACAGGCTGGGGGCGGAGAGATTTTGAAGCTGGTGAAGTCAATATTCAGGCCATTGGGCTGTAAGTTCCCAAGGCAAAATATCAGGTGTTGTTCCTCCAGTTTATGTTTGGCCTCACTCGGACAGTGGAGGAGGCCAAGGATGGACATGCCACCAGGGAAGTGGGAGGGAGAGTTAAAGTGGAGCTGGCATAGTGCAGACAGTTTCTCCGAATAACCTGAAACCAACTGGTTATTTTAAACTTGGTGGTGTAACCAGGCAAGAATAATGAATTCATAGTAAAGGATCCTCCACATAAGAGTCATTATGAATCAAGATTACACTCAGTTTGAAGGCAAGAAGTGTGGATCTGAAACTAGCATTTTAAAAACTCAAATGAAGGCAAATACAAGGCAGTGGACTGAAAACATAGATTTAAAAAGTAACGTCATTGAAGTTGTAGTGTCATTTAAGGAGATGTTTCTTAACCATTAACAAAAAGTATATTCTTCTACAAAACAAAAGAGTCCAAGAGATCTGGGTACCTTCAGACGTGAATCACAAAATGTTAGCATGCAGATACAGCAAGTAATTAAGTGAAAATGGAATATTAGCCTTTATTGCAAATGGAATACAGCACAAGATCCGTATCTAAGACCTGTACCTCGGAACTTTTACCCAAGATGGTGCCAAACGAGGTGCCATTGTAAACTTTCCACTGTACTCCTGTACTTCCATACTTGAGTACGCATGACAATCAAGAGCACTCTAATTCTAACTCATAAAACTCAGGAAGTCCTGCTGAGGCCGTACAGGGCATTGATGAGATAGCACCTGGAGAACAGTTTTGGTCATCATTTCAACACATCCATCCTTAGATACAGGGCCCAAAACCCCTCATAATATTCCACAAGCTGTCGGACCAAAGTCTTATATAGCCTCAGCTTTCACATCTCTGCTCTTGTATTCTAGTCCTCTCGAAATGAATGTTAATGTGTTTGCCTTCCTAAGTGCCACCTGGACCACCCTACCGATAAAACCCTCCCATTTCCTGACACTCAGCTCAGAGACCGTCCCTTTGGTCTCTCTCAAAGTATCCCTCACACCCACTGACCTCTCATCCCGGAGACCCTTCTCTCAGCGTGCCCCCACGTAACAGGCAACAACTTACACTGCGGATTTCATTGTCCCTCAGAGCAATGTTGGAAGAATCCACCACAATAACAAACTTTACTTTAGTGTTGGTAACGTAGCCATATCTGTAAACATTCGTGAAGGTATATTTCCTCAGGATGCAGATTTTAGCAATCAGGATGCAAGTTACACTCCTCAATACATACTTCCCTTCCTCCATTCAGGTCAAAACAAAGATTTCAGTCAAGCAATGACCTATTAAAATAGTGAGTCCAGAGTGAAAGGCAGCTGCTATTGAATAAAAGTGGCACCATAGTCAACCAAGATCCCATCATCACCCAAATTCTGCACACAACCCCAGCACCAATCAGGAGCAGAATTCCAGACCAATCAGGTTTTCATTTCACCCAACTGCAGCCCCATCACTTCCCATGACATCTGGGTACAGACTGAGTTTTTGGATGGATAAGGGAGTCAGGGGTTACTGGGGACTTGCGGTTACATGCAGTTAAGGCCACGATCAGTTTGATGGGTTCACTGACC